TGATGTAAACTAAGCTCCAGGTAATGCATTCACTGGTAAACTTAGCACATTCCCTTTTCACAACCCTGTTGGCGGGTAAGCTTCTGGGTCTTTATGGGTATGGATCTATATGAAAACTCTTACTAGTAAACCATGTAGGCAGCATGAAGTAATAATACCTAATGAACTACCATTTTACTGTTTCATTTCATTATAAAACTCATCCTAGAATATTCTTGACAGAAGTACTGACTTCAGAGAATGAGATGGATAGAGAGGATAGCAAGTCAGCAACAATGCTTCTTTTGTTTTATATTTTATCAAAAATTGAATCACCTGAGAGGCTTTTTCTTTTTCCCCTTTGTTTACCCATTTGTGTAACAAGCAGACTGCTTCAAAACAAAACACCATTCAGTTCTGTTTAATAGAAGACAGAAGTTGATCTTCTGTCTTCTGATGTGCTTGGATGGGAGGCCAAGTTTTTAACTGTAGCAGTGTTTGTGTGAACTATTTGCAAGTGTTCCTTTTTGGTGTATTGGCTGATTTTTTAGTTGTACCACTAATGGTGTTTTGGGGATTTTCATGCTTTTGGTTTGATGTTCACTTGCAATTTTCACATATATTTGATGTATGTCTGTGGCTTGGAAACTTACCGATTTATGATTTTCCAGGTTGTTGGAGGAAAAATGACAGAATTAGGACGACTCGGTGCCTTCATTACCAAAGTGAAGAAAGGTAGCTTGGCTGATGTGGTGGGGCATCTCAGAGCAGGTAAATCAATCAAATACATACAAAATATATTGTTCTTGACTTCTTGTAATGCATTTGTTAATTTGTATTAACATCACTTCTTTGATATGCTAATATATGATGAATAGATAAAAAACACTGTAATGTTCTTATGGAATGCTACAATTTCCTGCATTTCTAACTTATTAATGACTACATTTGCTTGGATGTATGAAAAAAATACAATACACTTCTGGTCTGTGCTGAAGTGCCATGGTTGAATTTAACTGGTATATTTTTGCTTTCTTATCTCAGGAGGTGTTTTTTATACTCTGTAGAAGCAACATAAAAAACTTATGAAACTTACTCAATTGTGTCAAAAGCTCACTGCAGTAATTTTACTAACACTGCAGTGTCACCTGAATGATGGATGCAACAGACATTATTAATCCTTTCAGTGTGAAACGTTACCAAAAAAAAAAAAAAAAAAAAAAAAAAGAAGAAAAACAGCTCTATGAAATGATCCTAAAGTATTTAAAGTATTTAATGTACATAATAATTATTTATTGCTCTTGCAAGTGTTTGACTGTACTATTTACACTTTCCAAGCTTTATTTTTAAATGAAATATGAACAGTGCTTTTTGATCAGTTTTCTAAACATCTTCTTGGTGGTTTATATTCTTATCATAGGCCTAAACAACTATTTTGGAAGTGTCTTAGGAACAAAAGTTTTAAGTAGTGCCTTCATTGGAATCCAGAAATTCAAATGAGAACTTTTATGAATTTTTGATGATTACATTAACCAAATAATATAATAAAGAAATAGAACACATGATGAGTCTCCAAAAGTACCCTAGTTCGTATTGGCATTTGTTACTTTTTTTTCAATTTGAAAAACAAGTTGTTATTAGCACCCCTTATTATAGATTTTAAGTGCAGAATGTAGTTACTGAAAATTACAAGAAAGAAAATAAGGATATTTGTGGTATCAGATAATGGATGCACACTTCTGGCCAATGCATAGGATGGGATGTGAGAGTGTAAGATTACCTTATGGTTCCTGCAGTTTAATTGAATACACTGATCTTTATTAAGAAACTATAATTAAATACTTTTATCTTTTCAAAATAGTACTAACGTGCAATGCAATGTATTTTATTTAATATTATTAAAATTCTGGAAGTGACAAGCTGAAAAAAGACACATATCTAAATATCGTTTACATCAGGTTTTGGTTTCTCTTCTCCCCTGGCATCCTTAGAAGTAATGATTTAATTCTGACTTTTCTTTTTTGCTCATTTGACACAGACAATGAAGACTTTCTGTTGAGAATTCAAACTGCACAGTATATAAAATGTAATGAAAAATGCTGATTAAGGTTAAACATTAGATATTTGTTTCCATTTTTTGAAGATTAATTATTTATTGCCAACATTTATTACTGTGAGTTAAAGTTACTGTTAGTAAAGTTTTACTGTTAAAGTCTTCTTAAAGAGACTTTTATTGTGTAGCACAGTAATGTTTGCTGTATTACCTCTGAAGTACTTAATAAATTAAGACCATTTGTTTCATTCATTTTTTTTGTAGAAGTTGTAGCTACATTCTGTGAAACAAGCCTTGGTAGGGTCTCAAAAACCATTTTCTGGATTTCAACATAATTTTTAAATTTATTTTGAGCAATGTAACTTAGTTATGTACGTTTCGTAAATGTTTTGTGCTTCTTTGCAAAAGAATATTGAAATGAATTAAAATTCTCTTTAACTTCAAGGAGATGAAGTTCTAGAATGGAATGGTAAACCCTTGCCTGGAGCTACAAATGAAGAAGTTTACAACATTATTTTAGAATCAAAGTCAGAACCTCAAGTTGAAATTATTGTTTCAAGGCCTATTGGGTAAGGCTAAATACTAGTTTCTTAAGTACAGTTATTAGTCCTACTAATTGGACTTCTAAAGGGGTTATTTGTGAGTTCATTGTTTTTTATCTTTGAATAATGGAGTGTGATTGACTTTCCATTGCTGACATTCTGTACATTCCATTTTCGTCATTGCCTGTTGCAGTCTTGGGCCTTTATAGTGATTTATCAGTATAAATGATTTGTTAGGAAGCAAGCATTGAGCATTGCAGGAATTGAATTATGTCAATGCTAGTGGGGTTTTAAAGAGGTTTTCTTTAAAGAGAGGAAAAAAGAAATACAGCTGTAACTGAAAAAGCGGTATTTGGCTTTTTTCTTTTTTTTTTTTAGAATTATAATTTTTATTTATTATAAATCCACGTTTGGTGTTTGACAGTAACAATTCTTGCATTCTTGATTTCTGAAGAATCATCTGTTTGAGTTGATAAAACGAGGGTTCTACATTTGTCACAATTGCTTTACAGCGATATTTTACACTCCTTCCCTGAAAATGACTCTAATGGGACTATTTTGAGTGATCTTACAGGATGGAATTTCAATAATATTGTAAATTGACAATTAGATTGCAGAGATGAGTCACATGGTTTACAATAAGAAGTGACTCTTGACTAGTTTCAGAAAAAATGTGAGAGGTTTAAATCTATCTCTAGTTTTTAGCCTTCACAGAGATCACATGCTCACTGTATGTCTCTAGTACCAGTAACCTGTAGGTGGATAGTGAGCTGTTTTCTCATTATAAATGCATGATTCTTTCATTTTGAATGTGCTGGATTTCATCCTAATTATAAGTTTTATATTTCTCAATTATGGCAAAGTTTTTATTTTGAGCAACAGAAAGCACTATTCATTTTCCTTCTGACTAAAACATTCTTCTTGTATTTCATATCAGCTTTTGGTGTTTGGTTTTGTCCACACTGTGCAAATGTAGATATACCTTGCAAGTGAACTCTTCCTTTTTAATGGCAATCACTATTAAAAGTATTTGAAAGTATTTAAATGAAATTAACATTTGTTGGTAATCTTAATGGCAAATTAGAGCTTGATGCAAAAATAGTGGTTGTTTAGGGCCCGAATTAACATCCAGAGTGAAACAGTATGGAACTAGAAAGCTTATTTGGCATTCTTAAGTCACAGGTAAATTAAGAGACATCCCTGATCAAAAATTGACATTCAGTCTTTATGATTTAAAATCAAATGCCATGAGTGGGTTTTTGAAAATTTAATTTTTATGTTTTAAATCAGGAGAAAAGAGGTATTGGACTGGACATAACATCATTTCTCAATTGAAGGAAAATTGATCAGTTCAACTGATACAAAAAAGAAACTACTGTATTAGTTTTTTAAATAGTGAGCTTTAGATATCAATGTATTTGTAAATGTCACATATCCTTAGATTTTTATCTTGATTCTTAAATTGACTTCTTGTTTATGAATTCTATAAATGTACAGACTTCAAAAAACAAAGTACAATGTGGCCAATTCCACTAATGTGCTCTTGAAAAAAAAATCCAGGGGAAATACCACAACTGTTGGACTAAGTTCTAGAGAATAAAGTGTATTCAAAAACAAAGACTGCTTCTAAATCTGAACAGCAATTATTGCACTAATGAAGCAGAAATAGGACCAATGAAATGTAATGTTTTGCTTTGTATGACCCACACGTATTTCTTTCCAGACATAAGCAAAAACAGAGAGCATCAAATTACTCTTTTATTTTGACATAAATGGAGTCTTAATATGGAGGTGTTTATATGCTATAATAATTCTGTCCTTGTAGAACTGTGTTCTGCTTGAATTATTTTTTCCTTTTCCTTTTTTTTTTTTTTTTTTTTCTACAGAGAGCAAATAAATAACCCAAAGGGTCTAGAGCATGCAACTGTTCAAATTTAAGGATCTCTTTGTTTTCCCTTGGAAATTAGATTAATACCTGTTGTTTTACATCACATTGGGATTTACCTCTCTCTCATCTAAACCTAACAAAAAAATCTCAGAAAAACACCCAGGCATTATGTGACTAAGAAAATCCTGATGTGAACAACAACAACAAAAAAATGATGAGCACCACATCCTGCACATGATTTTCTTGTTTGTTTGTTTGAATTTGTGGATGTTTTGCTATGGATTACTTTTTTCTTTTTTTCTTCTGGCTTCTCCTTGCCTTGTTATTCCAACTATGTGCTCATTTCACATTCCTGATAGTGAATTTGACTTAATCCAATTGATCTAGTATAGCCAAGATTTGTATCTACTTTAGATTCTGATTCAGCAAACTTCTAGCTGCTTGATAAAGCATTAATTGGTAATCCATTACACCTAAAATTCCTGTGAGGGAATAGGTTCCCGAAAGACCTGAAAAATGATATTTCTTCTGCATAATTTAAGTGTTTTCATCTCTTAGTATTAATAATGCAAGTAATGTAGCAGTGCATCTAATGGTCTCTTTTTAAAAAGTCCTAGTATATTAGGTCTAAAAAGCCTAAATTTAATATGGTTTTGCTAAAGTAAATAATAGGAGGACTGGAAGGCCACAAATTAGACGACTGCAAATTACAAAATTGATGTCTATACAGTTTGCTTAGTCTTGTAAATTTGGATTTCTGTGTCTATCAGTAAATGTAATTTTGAGTAATGGATAATTGTAGGGTGTTTATGAGAGAAAAATGTGAAGAATTCAATACAATTAGCAAATAAAGGCATAGCAAATGGTATAACCACAGTAGTACCATAAAAAGTCCGTAGAAACTAATTGACATTAATACTTGTGATTGCATACACAAGGTAGGTAAGAAACCATTTAAAATTAGATTTAATGGATTGGCATCTAAATATGAAGGGGAGAAAATGAGCTATGAATATGCATGCAGTGGTAGAGGCTGTTAATGTAAGGCAGCATAGGCTTTGGCAGCACACTGTTTGAGAAGCGCTCTGGCATGGTAACTGTCTCTTGTGTGTTCGGGTGAGCTCATATGGGATAGTGCAGGTAAAACAAATTTTTCTTTATTTGTCTCTTGTTTTCCTTGTCATGTACAATTTATATTTGCTTGGATTTCCACAAATCTTATTGCAAAAAATGTTGTCTCTGCAGTGTGATTCAGTTCCTGTGTTGCTGTACCCTAGGTCTTTGCAAGGAGACTGAGCCTCCATAACAAACTAAACAGTGATAGATTTCAGAGAGTTACTAGAGTAATACAGTTAATGTAAACTGCAAATGGATCCTTTTTTTCCTTTTTTAAAAACCATTTATTTTAGCTAGTCTGGCTTTGGTTAGTTAAAACCGTTTCTTCTATGTCTTCTGAAGATTTTTTTATAGTTGATGTCTTTCTCCATCCACCCAGGTATGTAGGTTGAACTTCCTGTGTTGAAATGTTTCTTATACTTATAAGCCCTCTTTAAATATCCTAAATTTTGTATTCTTATGAGCAATGCTGTGCTGCAGAAGAGAAAGTACATATTTCTAGCACAAGAGATATCGCATATTATGACTTAATATTATCACATAATAATATTATCACATATTATGACTTAATGTCATATTGAGCAGGAAAATCAGTTGGAATAAACAAATATTTCAGACTGATGAAAATTTCCTTGGAAACAGAAGAGAGAACATGCTATGAAGTCCACACAGCAGCCCTGCTGAGCACTAAGTCATGTGTTTAATTGTGAAGGAGTATTATGCCATGTCAAGAGCAAATAATGCAGTTGTATTTCCATGAGTTTGAGGAAATCACAGTATTCCTTACTCACAAAGTCAAGGAAAAGTCAAGAACTTTCTTGGTTAGTGCTGAGATGAAGTCCAATGCAAAATGTTAGTTGGGAGCCAAAGTAGGTTTTGTTAAATCATGTGTACCAGAAAATTTAAAATGCAGAACTTGAAAAATAAATTTAAGACTGGTTGGTTGGGAACTATTACATTCACTGTCTAACTTAAGTGTCTGTTTCTTTGTTGAAAGTAGCATTTTTATATATATATATATATATATATATATATATATATAAAGTCTTAGTTTTATTGACTTCTAAATCATTAAGGCAATGTTTCACTGAACAGAAAAATACCTGAGTACCTTTAAAATGCTCACCTTTACACTTAATATCTTTAAATGTTCTTCAAAAATAGTATTTTTGTTTAAATTTTGAATTAGTATTTGCAGAAGAAAATAGTTTCAAGTGAACTGCTGAAGAGCTTTGTTTCCATTTTCTTGCTCTGCTTTTCTAATATTTGCAGAAAAATAGTTATATCTTGCCTTTGCAATGTATTTTCAGTGCTTGTTGAGAACAGGACAGAATGAGGAGCTATCATTATCTAGACTGTGGTGGAAAAGTAATTGTGTTGATGACAAAATTTTGACAGACGCGTATGGATGTAACTGGTTTGATTTTGTTTATGTGTATGTGTTGGATGTTTCTATGTTGAAAAAATTCTATACCCAATTGTAACGAGTTGTGATATTTTTTTAGCCTTTGAAGAAGTGTATTATTCTTTTGTTGTTTAACATTTCTAATGTTTCTTGGTTTTTCTTTTTTTTATTATAAGACATTTTCATCAGTTTCATTCTGTGAACTCCTTGAGACGTTTATATAAAGATTACTAGTGAGTTAATCTCTGTCTTCTGTTTAGTTTGTAAATGTTTCCTCCAAAGAATAGTTGAGTGTCATTAGCTATACTGCCATTTACCCCCTTCTCTTCATAAAACCTCTCAGGCTTTAGATTGTGAAAATAGTAGAATCCATCCATAATATTTACATCATAGCACTTGTTTTGTCTTCTAAGTTTGAAGGAAGTAATAGTTTCTTGTTAAGATTTTCATGAAACCCAGTGAAAACGATGAACTGGGTTCAAATATTTCCCCCTTCTTTCTCCATAATCCATAAGAACAAAAAGAGATACTTTTCTGAAACTGTTTCTTAGAAACATGTTTGTTACAGAAGAAGGTACTCTTCCTCATTCCTAATTATTTTGTGTTTATTTTGTGTTATTTATTCATGTTTTTTAGTGATATTCCTCGGATTCCTGAGAGTTCTCATCCCCCATTAGAGTCCAGTGAGTACATTCTCTTTGTTCCTTTGACAGAGCTTGATCTTGTACTCAGTACATTTTTTGCTATGAATTTTTTGAATGCCTACCATGCAGTGGGAGACTGCGTTGTCTTGAGATTTGTATGTGAAAAAAAATCGTTGTTATCTGAATCTTGTGTGTTAAATTCTAAACAATATAGATTTGATTAAAAACTATATACATTTCAAATGTTAGCAGGATTTTACTATGTTCTTTTGTTACTTGTGCTGTTAATACCATATGGGTGTATAAGACATGCCTGAAGAAGTCATTTACTTGTTCTAGCATAACAGAGGAGATAGGTAGAAGAGGCTGCCAAAAGTACAAACAAATGGCATCAGGATTTCACCTCCTACACCATCCAGCCTAAGTCCAGAGTTTCTGCTTCTCTTTAACTTATGGAGAATGCAACCCTATGATGAAATTTTTGTGTATGACACTTGAAAAGAACAGTTTCCTTAGCTGTCATTTGAAGTGTCAGCTGGGTTGCATGAGAGCCATGGCTTCCAGCCCTTTCTCATCTGAGCCTTGCGTGAGAAGCAATGAGAAACTTCCTTGGGTCCAGCAGGGCCACTGAACTTGCTGTGCTGCTCCTTGCCTTTCGTGAGCTTGTCCTTGCTCATGTGAGCTCTGCTTCACTGATAGAGAACTACTAATCTCCTGCATAGACAGGAGTGTCCTCTGTGCCAGATGCCTGTCTTGCATGTCTTCCTGCCTCTGAATTCTCAGGAGTTAAAATCACATTTCAGAAGCTACTATTAAAAAAAAAAAAAGAAAAAAAAAAAAGAAAAAAAAAAGAAAAAAATCATTTACTCATTAAAGTTTTCAGCTATGCACTCTGTACAATGAGGATATTTTATTCAAGGCATGGTATGTCAATGATAGATAAGGAACACTTTGTAATATGTTATTTAGAGTAAAAGAAAAAATGTCAGGTTTAATCTGGGTTAAGAGTATCTAGACTATTTTCACCACCTCATTTGCATCAGCTTAAAAAAATTCCGTATGCTAAGACATTAATACTATGCATAAAGACAAGCTTTATTATGTTCAAAGAAAAACAATTCATAAATTATCCAAATTTGCTTTATAATTTCAGATGGAGAGTTCATGTGTTTCTTGCATATTTTTAGGTTCAAGTTCTTTTGAATCTCAGAAGATGGAAAGACCTTCTATTTCTGTTATTTCTCCAACCAGCCCTGGAGCCCTACGGGATGCACCACAAGTCTTACCAGGGCAGCTTTCTGTGAGCAGATTTTATTTTTCCTAAGTTAATAATGAATGGATGTTTATCAGATGTTGGTCCTTCAGCCCTCTGCCTTCCCAAGGTCTATTGGGAAGTCAAAGGAAGTAACTGTCGCTAGTGAACTCTAACATCTTTCAAATGTGTAAGTATACATTCACTGTAATCACAGCAGAAGTAAAGAGTTGTCATCTTAATAAATGAGAACATGCAGAAATTTACATTGAGGAGCCCACAAACATGCCTTCTAATTTTTCATGCTGTGCTCTTTTGCACTTGCAAATAACAAGCACCATACCACTCTACCTTCTTTACAGGAGCAAGTAAAGAGCTATGTTAACTTATACTGTAGAAAAATGCAATTGAATTTAGATAAACTTCACCTCCTGGAATTCTCTGTAATGTTAATTGAAACTGTACTTATTAAGCACACAGTGAATTCTTAGACTTTGTTATTATATATTCTTAAATTTTTATATTGATTATATTAATTTCTAAGTACACAGCAGACTCAAAAATTCTGTTACGATCCTACGAGGAAAGAATTTAGCTGTATTTTATACTTTCCCTTAGACCTTTCTAATGTGACAGATGAGAGTAGATAGATTTTGAACATGCTTGAAGTTTAGCTTCCTATTTAAATGTAGATTCAGAAGTGCAAAACTAAGATGATGCTGGCTTGAATGAACTTACAGGTACCAGTGATTACAGTAAGTCATGTAAGTATAATTGAGTAACACCATTTTATTCAGCTAGGTGAATATGTAAGTCTTTGGTATACACCAACATATTTTTTTAATAGATTTGTAATTATATGCATCTCATTGTCTCTTGGGAAAATAAATGTTACTTCTAAACTGTGATTAATGTGATGCAATATAAAAATTCCTTTTTTTTTTTTATTTTCAATGTTTTTTTTCTGGTAACTTGTTTCATGTAGGTGAAACTGTGGTATGACAAGGTGGGACATCAGTTAATAGTGAATGTTCTACAAGCAACAGATTTGCCACCAAGAGTAGATGGACGGCCAAGGAATCCCTATGTAAAAATGTATTTTCTTCCAGACAGGAGGTAGTACTTCAGTTGAGAAAATTATTTTGTAATTTATTGAATCAATTTTTAAGTGAATGTTTTTGAATTGCAATATTCTTTTATATGTATTTTTTTCCTATTTAGACTAATCATGAGAAAAAAATTGCAATAGAGGTATTTAATTCAGTATAAAATTAACTCTCCGGACATTTGGATGAATGCAGTCCGCTGTACAGCAAATACTTTTCTCTTTTAAGGCATTATCAGATCAGGAAAAATGAAACCAATAAGTGCTGATGAGTTTATGGCTTTTTGTGATTTACAAACAATTTACAACAAATATTTATGTTACAGTGATAAAAGTAAAAGGAGGACCAAAACAGTAAAGAAAAGTCTAGAGCCAAAATGGAACCAAACTTTTCTCTACTCACATGTCCATCGTAGAGATTTTAGAGAACGAATGCTTGAAATAACAGTATGGGATCAGCCAAGAGTCCAAGAAGAAGAGAGTGAATTTCTTGGAGAGGTGACGCACACAATCACATTTATCCTGAGTTTGATATTTATTTTTGAATACCTGTTAAACTTACATATTAAAATTTAAATTAAAATGTGATAATTTTCCTCCTAGATTCTAATAGAGCTGGAGACAGCGCTTTTAGATGATGAACCACATTGGTATAAACTACAGACACATGATGAATCTTCACTACCTCTGCCTCAGCCATCACCTTTCATGCCAAGAAGACATGTTCATGGTGGAGAAAGCTCTAGCAAAAAATTACAGAGTAGGTCCAATCCATTCATCTTTTTTTTTTTTTAATTTTTAAATTTGAAATCCTGGGTATGTTGTACTGATATTTAGTTTTCACATACAAGACAAAAACGCCTTTTCAGAGTCTGTTAGTGTTATACAAATGAACAGCAAAAAGAGATGCCTTTGCACGTGCCAGCATTTCACCTGTGATGCATAACTTTCAAGTAAATGAAACCTATTTGAATCAATTGATTTTCACTAGCAAAATAAAATTGATCAAATATTTGTTTTCATAAATCTCCTTTCAAAAGGAAAAAGTCCACGTTTGTTGGATACTTTTGTAATAATTAAAAGCTTTTTATTTAAAAAAGGCTTTGAAGTCTTGTGAGGTGTAAAAACACTTCATTTAAGTTTAGTTTCAGCTTCCAATGTACTTTTATATACCATACCATATAATCAGATGAAAGAAGGAATGTAAGCAGCAAAGAGAAACTGCTTTGGGAAGTACAGTTGTTCTGAAGATTCTGATTCCAGGTTTGTATTTTTCACACTAAAAATAATGAATGTATTGAAATATTTGACTGTTGTAGCCTCTCTCTTCATTTAACTTAGTAAAAGATATATTTTAAAATGGGAAGGATGTAGGACGTTATTTTTAATAAGCTTTCAAGCTATTTTTCTCATTATTATTATTATTTCTTTTTAACATAAAAGTCATTAATTCCAGCCAACGAATAAGAAATTGGGCATATTCAGGAGTGAATTGTAGAAATGTGATATTACTTTAATTACTGCCTGAGAGTATGTATAGAGATAGCAAACCAAAGGTTAGTTTTCATGAGATATTTGAACTTTTTAAAAGGCTGTCAGTGCTGCTTCCTCTTCTCCTTTCTTACCATATGCTGCCACCTCTGCTTTCCTGTTCAGCTGATTCAGCTTGCTCTACTCACTGAAATAGCACAAAAGTACCTTTTTTTTTCTTTATTTGAGAAATAAAGAAATCTTTTTCCTTGCTTAGTGAGCTAAACTAACCTCGTAGAAGAGTACTGAGGGAAGAAAGGCAGAGGAGGCTGCAGCATCTGTGAACCTGATGGATTGACTCAGCTGTTTGATGAGACATCACCAAATCATTGATGCAGTTTAATTCTCCACTTGTACTGTTTAGACTTAAAATCATCTTTTCAGTTTTAGTACTACAAATGAACCTATTTTTACGCTTTATAACATGGCCAGATGTTCAGGTATTTGTTTACCTTACTGTTGTACAGGATCTCGGCCAATCAGTGATAGTGACATCTCAGATTATGATGTTGATGATGGTATTGGAGTTGTTCCTCCAGGTGCGTGGGTGAACAGCATGGTCCTGCTTTCTTTTTTCTTGCTTGCTTATTTATTTATTTTCATTATAACATTTCAGAATATTGAAGATACTGGTTTTAGAGAATGCGTAGTGGGAAGAACAAGTTTTTCTGATCATTCCATGGTTCTTGTCCTTCTCAAATATGGTGAATTAAAAGATTCTATAATTCGTTCATTGGTATTCCTTTTGCATACCATTCTTCACATATGAACCACTTGATGGTTCAAATTGTTTACCACGTGGTGTTCCAAGCATTATTAAAAATACTAATTTAATTTTAAAAATTGCTTTACAACAGTAATTAGGGTTTCAGTGTTTATTGCAAGCATGTTTTATTTTGCTTTTTGCTTGATACTTAGATGTAAAATAGTCTTCCATAGACTTTATTGAGAATGCATGCTGTAGATTATGATGCATGTAGCATGGCTGTACCTTCTATAGTTTCCTTGAGTCTTCATGAACTACCATTACCCTAAATGTTCATAAATTTAGCTTGTACCATGGTTAGACTTCAATTTATCATCCTTTTGTACTTTGGATGCCATATTTTTCTATTTCTATTCGACTGTTGTTATAAGTCAGGTGAATAGGTTTCAGAATTGTCCCAAGCTATCCTAAGATTCGCCGTTTCAGTGGCAGTACTAAATCATTTTTTCCATGTCCCCATTGACAATTACTGAATTAAATCATGGCAGGTTTTAGAAAGTCCTCTATCTCCCTGATCAGAGTTTAAAATAATCTGACAGTTTATTTATTATATAATGATTAAAATACATTGTACATTTTATTACCACATATAGATACAAATTTTGCTTCTTTTTATGTGTTAGGGTACTTCCCTTACTTTCATACAATTGCATATGAGCAACTAAGCAGGAAATTTGTTCCATTATGTCTTATAATTGTATTTGGTTTAATGAAGTGATTAATCTTGTTATTTACAGAAGCTGAGAACCTTTAAGCTAAAAATAAATCATAGGTTTCAAAAATGTGGCATACCTATGTATGCTTTCTTACCTCTCAATATACATACTTAGAGCAGGAATTTTTTTTAAGCTGCCCATTCCTTAGGGCATTCATTTGAAATAAACCGTTTCCATCTAGCCAGAAGCTTTCAAGAACATTCAGCTGAGTACATTGGACTCTATTCTCTGGGTCAACCCCTGAATCACTACAGTGCTTACAGAAAGTTCTTAGGACAGCGAGTGCTTGAGCGTGGCTTTGAAGCATACATGGGAGCAGACTTCCTCAAGAGATCACTGCAGAAAATTGCAGTATATTGCAATGCCGTATACCACCGGATTTTTTTTAGAATCGGTTCATGGAACTGTTTATAAAAGGGGTTTATACTCACAGCTTTAAAGTAACTTCAGTTGAAGCTCTGCTTAACACAGTTTATTTTTGACAAATTTTTGTGGTATGCCTATGTCTGTTTACATGAATATTATTTTAATGCTCTCAGCCTCTCCTCAGATGTACGATGCTCCAGGCTTTTAATTAGCTTTGTGGTCCTGCTCTGGACTCCGAGTGCTTTAACTCTTTGTCTTTCTTCTATGATGGAGCTCAATATTCCAAATGTGACCACACCATTACTGAGTATATAAAAAGAGTCAGTAAAGGATTTATAAAAACAAAATAAAATATGATCTGAGGCATTAGTGGCTCATATTGAGTTGGCAGTATACAAGAGCATATTAATGAGCTGTAATGCTTTTGAGTAACACTCCAGAATAATTTATTCTTCTATCTAAAATTATCTGTATAAATGGTTGTGTTGTACTTAACATTCCTGAAGCAGCAGGGTGACATCAGCATAACACCTTGCATTGCCTGTATTGCCTTTTTCAAAAAAAAAAAGAAATTTAGTGCTTTAGAAATCAAAACATTTTCATCATCCATGCAGTTTCCATTTCATGTCACACCTGACAGTTTCCCATGACCACCTGAGAAACTTCTTCTCCATGAACTGCCATAAGCTGTATTGCTGCTCCCATGCAAAAGAAAAAATTCTCTGCTCACTCTGGAGAGCTCAGAACCTTTGTTTTTGAAGATACGAGGAGATGTTACTGTTGCTGTCCCTGTCATGCTCACTGTGGAACTGTAGATGCAGTTTAACCAACTGAACAAAAAGTAAAACGTAGGAGAAATATTATTTACTGTTGCTCTGTCTGTGCTATAAGCTTTGTGTTCACCCAATGCACGGGTTTTAAATATTGTCTCCAGGTAGCTCAGCTATGAAGAATATGCAGGGTAATAGCATCTTCATATGCCAGATGTTTAAGTGCACAGGATAATCTTAGGTATTGGTTTCTTAGGTGGACCAGAAATACTCTGGAAGCACATTTTAAATTGAAATTTATTATTGAAAACTTGAAGCGCATTTCAGAATAGTTAAAAAGGTTAGAAAGCAGACTTGGATTTCTTTGATTTTAATGTTTAATAAATATAACCTAGGTTTTTTTTGTGTTAGAGAGTACATGATTTTACATGAAGCATGTTATTTTTCCAGAAAATATATTCTGATGCGTAAAGTTCAAGTTTAATTAGACTGGGAAAGGGAACACATCAGTTTTTGTTGTGTGTAATCATTTGTCTTCCTCTGACAAAAATACTAGACATTTTCTGCATCAATCTTATTACAGAAAATGAGGGAATCTCCACTGAAATCCTGAGTGAGTCACTGTTTTGCTTCAAAGTTTTCACCCAGTCCTTGTACTTATGTTGAGGGTATCCTGATATTTCTTTCTAGTTTTATTACATGGCTCTGAAAAACATTTTTAGCAGATAAAATACTCCAGCATCACAGTGCATCAAAACCAATGTGACTTTGGAGTCTTTCTTTGTAAAAAAAGTTTATGAACCTTGGAGTAGATACTTTCTGGGATCAAGCCCCTTTTGTAGTCAGTACTCACTAACCCATTGCCATTAAGTGGCAAGCATTTGTTGTGCATGTTGCCACTAATTTGCATTCACAAAGTTTTTGGGTTTTTTTTTTATCTTTCTTTGGCTTTCAAAAGATAACAGCCATCCTGCCCTAACTAATATATTATCACATTTAAAATTTGATGCCACGTTTGTTCATTTTATTTCATATACCTAACTCGGTGCTATCTGAGAACAGTGCAAACATGCAAATGCAACACTAGCGTTTGCTTCTGAGCTACTTTGTGTTTTTATTGTGAATCTTTTCCTTTGTCCCTACCCTCTAAGATCTATCAAAAGTCATATTGTTTCCTATTCCCCTAATTGATTGACTTTCCCACATCTCCCTGCTTCAAAAGATGGAAAAAAAGAGATTATTTCCCATGTTCTTGCACCAACCATGAAGTGTAAGACAATAATTGGAGAAAGTAATAATAGACTTGCAGAGGTTTTTCTGCGTATGTTTTGAGCTGACATTAACAAGAAATTCCATAGTAAAACTGTCTGATCATCTTTTTTGAATCATGTCTCCTTCCCACTCACCTTCTCTGTCTTATATTTGTAGTGCTCAATAGTGTATAACAGATGGACACATTTCTGGGGGTTGTGAAGTTATGAGCTTTATAATCAGAGACAAGGGCCTTAGAGGTTCTTGGATGACAAAATACACAATTTAGTGGGCCCCTCTTCTGAATTTTTGAATTTTGTTTATTAAAGTGAATCTGTTTTATGGTGAAAGATTATTATCACTTTTAACAAAATGCTTTCCTTCTGGTCTAATGCTCAGATAATGTATTCAGATGTTAAACGTCCATTAGAATTACATTGGTAATCTGATGAGTAATTTGAGAGAAATAATGTGAGTCTTACCTTGATTCTTGTAATCAAAGTTCAGAGTTGTAGCTGAGCATGTCGTTAAGTGTCACTTCACCAAGTCTGATACTGACTACATATACAGGCCATACTTTTAAGAGGCTTGTAACAATGTGGTATATTAGAAAAGAACTACATGAGTTACTCAAATTATGCAAAATAATAATAAAAAAAGAAAAACAACCTAAGCCGAAAACCTTGAAACACTAGAGAAAGAAGCACAAGAAGTGCAAAGCAACCTGTTTCATTATCCAGTTGAAGATGTAGTATTTAGATGATGATCTTTTCCTGTATGGAGAGAAGATTTCTGATACAGGCTGCTTTTTTAGCTAAATGTAAAAAGCACAGTACAGGTGTTTGGTGCTAAACAAATGCAATAGAAACAGCAGAGGGATTTTTTGTTGGTTTGTGATGTTCAGTTAGGGATGACTAAAGAGATGACCTTTCCTGTAATTCAGGGAGATTTTTTTCTCATCTAAATGTCTAGATGAGAGCAACTCTGACCAAATCCATGTAGGATATTCTGGAAAGGTAGCAAGCACCTTTTGGAAGCAGCACATCATGCTGATCTTCATTTGGTACAGGATTTTTAGCGTGAGGTTCAAAATGTGAACGATCAGTATATTATTTAGAAAAAAAGAACAGGAATATCAGTAGTTAAACAAATGGCAGAATGATAGTACATTTTTGAAGTTCTATGCAAGAAGAGATTATGAAAAATATTGCATCTCATTCATAGTATTTGGAAAACGTGGTCTGCAGTGGATATGGTGCTCAAAGTTTTATAGAATATGGTATAAATGCTTGTTATTTTTGAAAGTAGGTAGCTCTGACCAAGTTGAGTAGGAGAGCATTTTTATATTTAACTGAAAAAAAGTCAGAAAGAGGCTTTATTTTTGAGGAATCCTGTGTGAGTCTGCTGTAATACACAGGCATGGCTTCTCCATTTGTTAGATGAGGTAAACCTACACTACTTAGATTTGTTTCAAATATTTGCTACTGAATGACAATTTTGAAATACAAATTACTATGTGTACTCTTTCCCAAGATAGAAAATGGACTCAATTCTCTCCCTCACACCTTCCAGTGTATACTGAAAGTAATCTCAGTTTTTCTGTCTCTGCACATATAGAAATTAAAGGGTAGTCCTAGTATTTTGTCCTGGCTGCATGATATGTCAGGATACACGAGAGCTGAATGACCACCTGACAGTTGTGTAAGCATTTAGTTGTGTGTTCCTTAAAGGACTAACCATCTGAATTCATTCGAAATCCACACTGTTATTCTCTAATTTCCTTCTGTTGCCCTCTTACCAGTAGGTTATAGATCTAGCACTAGAGAAAGTAGATCTACAACACTAACTGTGCCAGAACAGCAAAGAACAACACATCATCGTTCACGATCTGTATCTCCTCACCGTGGCGACGATCAGGGCAGGACCCGTTCACGTTTACCAAATGTGCCATCACAGAGGTAGGCATCACAAGAGAGTGAAACTGGTCGGTTTCAAGTTTGTACAATCTCTCACTGGTATCTGTTTACTTTTCTTTTGTTCAGCATTGTGTAGAAACAGAATTGTATTTCAATTTAATAGTTATTTGGACTTGATGTATTCTTTCAATAATCATTCAAGCGCAGCCACGAGATTAATCATATCTTTCTAAGAGTTACCTCTTACTAATATTTTCTGTGTGATTCATCTCAGATTTGGAAATGCTATTCAGGCAGTGACTGAATCTTATATGAAGTCATTTAAGCATTTTTGTACGATAATAAATAGTGCAGTATACAATTTGTATACTATGAATATAACTTATTTTGAAGTAACAACTAGCTTAAATTACCAGTTGTATTTATAATTTGCTCAATCAACCTGTACCATTTAATTGTCTATTAAGCTGTATTGTTTATGAGGAAAACAAGATTATCACACATATGTCTGCCTTTCAGGAATTTTTAATTGTCCACTAAACTATATAATTTGTGAGAAAAACAAGATTGTCATACATATATGTGCCTTTCAGGAGTTTAGATGAAATTCATCAAATGAGAAGATCACGTTCTCCAACTAGACACCATGAGGCCTCCAGAAGTCCAGCTGATTACAGATCCAGAGACATGGATAGTCAGTATTTGTCTGATCAAGAAAGGTATATTGTCAGTCTGAACTTGGAAATAAGATTAGAAATGTGTTTGTCAGTTTGCCCACTTTTCAAATGTTTAGCAGAAAACTACAGCCTGTTAATAATGGGAAAGGGTCAGGTAATCATCCTCACTGCAAAAAGTAGTCATAATTAAATTATCTTTGCCTTTTTTCTGGTGAAAGTCTGCACTGGGTTGACAGTGATAGAAGATGTCTGGACTAATGGTTCTTAGCTGTTTGTCCTAGACTACTGTGCTGTTTGTTTCATGCACATGTGCCCTGAGAGTTTGCTTAAAGCCATAAATCTACATACATTTCCTAATAAATCTTGTAGCAGAGACCAGAGAAATATATTTGTCTGTTTTGGTAGTGAGAAAAATACTAGGATGACTTCCTACCATGTGGGAGTTGAATGCTACAGTTTGCTTTCCTATGTGAATATGTTTTGGATTTTTACCTTTTCAGTCTCACAGAATTTTATATCACATTTTGGTAAACTTGGTACAGTATACAAACATAGGAAGGATAATTACAGTGCTTGCAATTAAGAAAAATCTCCAATCATTGATACTTGACACTCCTTGGAATATATGAAGATGCTCAGAGAATATGTTCTCTACTAGTAGGCATTATTTTCAGTTATTTAGGAATATCTTCAAAAATTGGAAGAAAATTAGAATGATCTTGCCTGTTTTTTTTTTTTTGTTTTGTTTTGTTTTGTCATGACTTATGTATGGGAATTAATCATTTACTTGAAACTGCTTAACATTTGAGTGTCCTACTTTATAGACAAGAAGTTTATACAGAATTGCCTAAGTTGGATTTTTGTATCAGATTTCCTTTTAGAGATGAGTTGAAATGCTTTTTAACTATAGCAACATTGCACTTACAGTTAAGCTAGTTCAAGAAATTTCCACTTGTTGCAGATGTTTCATGTTATTTATTATAGGTAGGAATATATTCAAAGTATTACTGAAAATATTTATTGGATAGCTTTCCTGTTCGACAGATTTGGAAGAGACTTTTAAAAGTAGCTTTAATCATTAGAAAGAAATAAATAGAGTTGGCTTCATACAGATTTATGTTATTGCCTCGAAACATAGTATAAATGACAATACATACATGAATTATGTCTGTGAGATGCACTGGTGCTTTTTCAAAGATGAGCCATCAGAAAGGGCACAGCAACAAAGCACTGCTGGATTTTTTCAGATGAATAGGAAATAGTCTTCAGTTTGCAGAGTTCAGAAGATACTTTTCAGAAATTTAAAAGATCAGACATGAAGGATGTACGTGATTTATAGGATTAGCAGGATTTAATCAAAGGTTCCCTGAACTTGCTTTCCTCAAGGAACCATCCTGTGCGCTTTTCTCTCTTTTTTTTTTCCATTTGCTTTTCCCCAGATACCTTCAGTTGTTGAAACTTTTTAACTCTTGAAGGCTTCACTGACTTCCCGTGAATAAGAGTAGAATCACAGAGTGGCTTGGACTCAACTTGTGATTTTTATGTTGTTGCCAACAACCTCATTGTTGATAGAATCTTTCACATCTCAGGGTATAAAAAAGTAAATATTCAGTATTGGTACCAGTACAATGTCTTAGTATCAACATTAGAGCAAGTATTATGTTCTTCATTTACCGAACCCATCATCTAAGTATATTCTTGTAGATACCAAACATAAACTTGATCGGAAAAGTGAGTATTTTTCTGATAATTGCATGGCAGAAATTGCAGTTGCTCATTACTTTTGATCATTTTCTCAGTGATCTTAGTGATCCTAAGTTAATATTGAATATTTCTAAGGAAGCTTTGTAGACATATCTATGATACGCTCTTAGAAAAGTGTTTGGTATGATACACTCCCAGCACAACTGATCGGTTCACTTTACCTTTTTTTTTTTAATGTATTCTTTTATATATATATATATGTATATATATTTATGTATGCACACATATGTGTACATGTGTATATAAATACATGTATATGTATGTGTGTATATAAAAATGTTTAGGAAAATTTTATATTACGAAATCCAACAAAGGAATATACTTCCCTCTCAATTTAGCATCATCATCTGATTCTCAAGTACCCTATTTCACTTTTTGTTTTATTCCTAAATAATGTCTGCTAATCTCAGTTCTTAAGTATTCCCATTAGGAAGTTCTTATTCTAAAATAATAATCTTTAATACAAATTTCTCCAAAGCAGCTTTAGTGTAGAACTTCCAATATCATCTTACATTGTAAATAATCTGTTACAGATTTTTTTGCCTTGTTTTTGTTTTGTTTTGTTTTAATTTGAGGTTTTCATGGTGGATTTGGTGTTTATATTCCTTTTCTCAGTGAAATATTATGGTTTGCCATGGATGCATTTCAGGAGATATCCTTTGGCTTAGCAAAAGTAGAATAAATATTATCAAATTACCTTTCACAACTACTCTTTTTCAGATTTTATCCTGTTTCTCAGAAGGATTCCTGTCTCTGAAAATTAAGCAGTGCATAGCATTTCATGATTGTAGTGTTTTTATGCTAATTTCCTCATTTCTTGAAAGAAAATCTCAAATATCTTAAGTTACTGCAGAAAATGGTATTCTTTTCCTAATACACATGTATTTGTAATTTGGAAATTTGCATATAAATGCTGTTAGTGCTCTAACACTTGGAATGGAATTTTTTCTTTAAAAGAAAAAACAATTCAGTTTACCTTTAATACCTTTTGTTGCATCGAATTCAGGCTGGTGATTCCAGATGCAAACTGAACTCTCACTTGTTACTCAGAAGCCATTATTTTAGTTTTCTGATTTCAGAACAGTAGAGTAATATTACCTGTGCTGCATCAATTAAAGTAATCATTTTATAGTGGTATGAAGCACAAAGCACGTTGGACAACTGCTACTTCATTTCTTTTGTAATCTTTTCTCTTTCTGTCACCACAGTACTTCATACGATTCCCTGCTTATTTTAAAATAGCATGTTTCCATGAAATTTAGCTTTACTTTCATATTTACAATAGTTTGTGGGATGTTGGTACTTCGACTTCTTGATCATATTGAAGTGCATAAAACTACAAGATTAAGTCAAGGGATGTTTCATATCATAATCATACTTACCATAGGCATAAATATGTCTTATTTTTACCATCTTTCTGATGCTAGCACGTGTTCAGTTGCATCAAATGAGTAATAGATTAGTTGGCTGATTTTCTGAATTGGAAACAATAAGAAACAAAGAATCTGATAACTGATCAGCTATTTTTTTGTTTTGTTAGGATAACATTGAATAATACTGAAAATAGCTATCAGTCAGAACTTCTATTTGAACAAACATATTCCCTGTTAATGCATATTTTTCTTTTTCCCAGAAGGACAAAAAGGATTTACTCTTCCCATAAATTGGATTGCAGTGAAGTAACAAACTCTCCCTCCTTTTTTCTTGTATTCTTTTGTGACTTAGAGAAAAACAATCACCTGTCTTTTTTCTAAAATATTTCTTTGTAGTTCTTTGATGTATAAGAAAGGAGGTTATTAGAGAAATGTAAATGATTTACGGAGACAGCTTTTGTCATGAGGAGCTCTGAATCAGTACTGAATTTTAACAGGAGAAACCTCATGAAACTAGGTGAAAGGATTTGGTTGAAAATGTAGTTATTGCAGGCATTTTTTTTTTGGCTCACATACTTTGAGAAGTGCAGTCTGGGTTTGAACATTAGCAGTCTATGTATTTTGGTGGAAGTTTCTTTGTTATTTTTTTTTATGTTTTCATTTGCGTTTCATTGGCATAACCCATGTCATCTAATGCTTCATAATTATATCTGTTTCACTCACCACCCATCCTGTCTGTGCAGTGAGCTTCTTATGCTGCCCAGAGCAAAACGAGGAAGAAGTGCAGAGTGCCTACATACCATCAGGTAAATACAGGAATCTGGTACACCTCTGGTTAGTTGTGTGTGCTTTGTGTGCCCGGCATACAGTAAGTACAGACCTTCACAGTACATTGTGATTCAGGTGTCAGTTTTTCTTTGTTTGTTTTAAATCAGCTGAAGATGCGTATATCTGTGTTTGTCTATACTGATATATGTGTATCACTAGTAAGGGTTAAAGCAGCTAAAGAATTCCTGATTATGCAGTTGTTTTTTGGGTTTTTTTGGGGGGTGGGGGGTTGATTATCTGTCTAGTCACAGTAGTCCTGATCACCAATGCATGGCAGTTTTGTTATGGTTTCAGACATTTTTTTTCAGTTTTAATGTTTTTGTTTATTTCCATTTCTATGTCTGTATTATAGCCAAGCACTGGCCAACAATCTTTACTCCTTGTGACACCTAATCTCATGCTGACTTTGGACATTTGAGGAGAAAGCATAGGGATGAAGGAGGGCATGATTTAAAGGCATCCTCCCCTAGATTTTAGGGAATTCGTAATGCTTCTATATTTTTCCTTTTGAATTGTGCTAATAATTTGATCCAGGCTTAAACTTTTCAGTTTATGCTCATTTTCAATCTTAAAAAATGTGTTATCCCAGGGTTTGAAACTCTCTTTCTCAACTGTTGCCAGAGCTAAATATAACTAACTATCTTACTATCTTAATCAAGCAAATCTACCTTTAAAAAAAAAAAAAAGAATAATTTCATTGTCATATTTCAGCCAAAAAGCTTCTGACTCAACATTTTAGATATTACCTTAATCACTTATTGAACTCCCTGTTATTTTGTGTCAGATTATTGTCATGCAATATCTAGATTTCACTACCTCTTTTCTATGGCATTTTTCTTTCTACTATATTTTCCATTGCTTTACTCCTTATATATCCCCAGCTCTGTGCTTTTTTTTTTTTTTTTTTCAATAATCAGGTAATAAAGATTATAATTTTCATTATAATTTTGCAGTGACAGAATTTAAATTCTCAACGCACAGAGTAATTATTATATGACGAGCTTTTGTCACTCTTTGCCCAGCAGCTGTGGATTTTCAATTGTGTTACAAATCCACTAGGCAGGTGGGTAGCTAACCAGCTAAAAATTGTGCATGGGCATCTACATAGTTAGGTTAGAGGAACACTGAATTCAGAGAGTACAGCCGTTCCTTGTGTTTTTCCTTGTTATAATTTCCTTGTTATAGAATCACCCTGGAAAAGACCTACAAGGTCATCCTATCCAGCTGTCTGCCTATCACCTATAATTCTTGCTAAACCATGTCCCTCAACACAATATCTAAACATCCCTTAATTAGGGTATGATTATAAAGAATATTTAATTAGGTTTTGAAGCTGATATACCACTTCCAAAAAACATTCAGAGATGCCAGATGCAAGTATGTGTGTAACTGTCTTTGTGGTACTACATATCTCTGTTTTAGCAAGCTTTTTGTGCTTAGCTTTGGAAGCATGTCTCAGTTAAAGTCTCTGTAGGTCTAAATAAAGCATTACTAAGACAAATAAATAGCAGCCTAATCCTTCACAAGAGCTTGTATATTTTAATTAAAAATCTCAGTGGTAGGAATTTAGATTACTTTCATTACAAGAACAGTGTCCGAGCTATAGTAGCATTGTCATGAATTCATGGGCTGTACTAACAAGAGAGTAAATTTAAAAAAATTGTCCACCAGGTAGCTATCACAGCAGGTGAATTGAGAAGAATATACATTAAGAAATCTCCTCATGCAGATATTACATATAGTAGAATATTATGTGTTTATTTTAAGTTCTGGTCAATTTTGCTTTACTATTACTTGTCTTTTTGTTTCTGGCATGTTTTTGTGTTGTTCTCTTTTCTTTTTTCACTTTCAAGAAGTTCTGTTAGTCATTATAAAACATTACCACCCAAGATGCCTTTACTAGAAAATGGTATTCATTGGAACCTATACAGGTAAGAAGTATTTAGAGTCCCCTTTAGTAGTAGTTAATGACTCTTTAGAGATGAAATAGTCTTCCCATATATATATGTATTTTTTTTTAAAAAAAAGAACAACAGCATTTCATATGCTTTTGATAAACATGAGTTAAGGGACTTCTTAAAATAACTTCATACACTCTAAATTACCCCTACAGATGAAAGACAAGCACTTTATATTATGCACAGTTTTCTTCACTGTTAACATTGTATGTTGCACACTTTGTCTTTGTTGCATTCTTTTGTTTGTGCGTGATTTTGCTTACATGTCAAATTTATTTTTATTTTGTTTAAATAATTTTAATTTACAAAGCTCAACTCTTCCTGCATGTGCTAAGACCAAATCAGTGGTTAGACAGGATATTTCTCTCCTTCGTGATTGCCTTAATTCACGAATTCCGAAATTTGGAGATGATCTACTGGTTAGGTAAGACACTAAGGATTAATACCTTCTCCTTTTGTATCCAAGATGGATTTACAGAATTAATGAGCTTCATTGTAAAGTAATTTCACGTCATTTATAGTGTATCACATCCTTTTATGTTGGCTTAAGACTTACTGCTAATAATAAGGATTTAGATTTATTGTTTGATATTTCTCATTCCACTCTTTTGCCAGTGGATATTCTGTCTCCCTCAGTTTTAAATATTTCAACAGTCTTAGCAAGAATATTTTAGCAGTCTTTTATTTGATTTTGTTTTCTAAACAAAACTTGGCTCTGTCATCCAGCCAGCTCTTTTATGTTTTCCTTAATTAAATCATTGTGATTTTACATTTTCTGTAAAGAGAGCATTATTTTATGAGTTAATATCTAACATTGTATTCCTTTCTTTGTTTTCTTTTTCTTTCTCTTCTACCATTGGATGCAATGCACTGGCACTAGTGAACTACAGCCCTCCCTTGACAGGGCTAGGAGTGCTAGTACCAACTGCTTGAGACCAGATACTAGTTTGCATTCACCAGAACGAGAAAGGTATAAAATAAAAACTTATAAATTTCTTGTCATCTGTGCTGGTGGTCTTTCCACGTTTCGTTTTTCTTTATATGAGTACTCTACATTCCTGTACATTCATGTCTGTTTTGATATTCGTAGACATTTTTGCTCCTATATTCATGTATGTCATGTAAATTGTGTCTTGGAGTTTGTAACTGCTTCTGGCTTCTTTCCTTGTTTCAGTTCAAGCTGATGTCATTGTTTGCAAAAGTCCTCAGTATGCTGATAATAGCATTACAGTGTTGAGCATTTTGACATTACAGTGTTGAGCAAGTATCACTTGATTGTTAATCATCATCATTTGCTGAAAAGTATTACATGTATTTCTTGCCTGCTTTGTGGACCGCTAATGAGACAGTGACATAATTTATAAATTATACAACAAAACTCTCACATTTTAATCCAGAACTGTAGTTTTTGAAGCCACGTATTTTCTATAGGACACCCAGCCAAACCTCATTGCTTCTTTAATCTGATCTGTTGCATCTGCTTTTGCAATTACAAGGCAAATCACTGCAGTTTTTTGTTTGTTTGTTTGTTTTTTGCTCTGTGATGATAATTTTTAGGCTCACTGAAGGTTTAAGAAGTCAAGTTTGCAATTTACATGAAAAGACTGTTTTATCACTTAAATTGTGTAGGTATTTTTTGGATCTTTTCTGAACCTTTAATAATGGAATATCTTGGTTCAAAATCCTAGATGAACTAAATATAAGTGATGTGTATGACAGATGGAATTATTCCACAATGGAACTTTTGAGCACCTTCTGGTTTTGGTTGATACTCACACCATTTTAGAATGAGGCTTTAGCTTCACTTAAGGCTATAGTAAACTCCCATCTACTATGACATAATTACATCAGTTCAATGCAAACTAATATGGCAGTTAATATCAAGTTGCTTTCTCAGTGAATTGACAATATAGTTAGGAAAACTGTTGTATCAATGTATTATTTTGGGAGAGTAACTGTGAAGAAAGGCAGTAAGATGTTTTTCTTTGAGAAAAGATGTCTCTTGTTTTTTCATGCATGGGGGGAATTTTCCTTTCCCTCTTCCCCAGCCTCCTACTGCTCTTTTATTGCAATTTTACTGTTCTCAAGCTGTGCTCTTGTTGCACAGAACTGACTCATGTCCTACTGGAATATTTCAAGTTGATCTACATTAGTTCACTCCTTTTTTTAAGATAAAGCACTGAATAGCATAACAATGTATGCCTAGTCATCAAAAAAATAAAATAAAAAGAAATAAGGCCATCCACACTAAAACACAGGATACCACTCTAGACATTTTAGAAACCGTATTGTAGCATTATATTACTATGAGTGTAGTTACACACAGCTTTACTAATGTGCAAGTAGCTATTTAATGCAATAATGTATGGATATAGGTAGTCTACATTTTGTAGTTTTATTTCAGGATGCCAGCCATCAAGCTGGAATTTTTAATGAACAGGAGCTGGCAATGGTAGAATATCTGGTTAAAATACTGTCCTCAAAACTGTATCTGTTACTGACATTAATTAGATCTGTTGTGTCCTTAGATTCATCTCCAGCAACATCTCTCCATGAGACATTGAGTAGAATCTGCAGCTTTTCACATGTGCTGCTCACAAAGAGAGGAATTTGATTTCTTGTAATGGCCTCTACTGCCAGAAGTTTTTGCCAGTTTGCCTCTGGTTCCAGATCCAAAAAAACTGTCAAGAATTTTATGTGTTTGCTTCATAAATCCTGAGGCTGACTAAAAACTTTCTTTTGGCATGGCATTCTTTTTGGGGTGTAGATTTTTCTTTTCTTTTTTTTTTTTTAATTAAATGAAATTCAAATTGAATATTTCCATAGTGGTTTTGTTGTGAATAATAAGGTGTGTGGCTTTGTCAGAGTGTTGTCATCAAGAATTTTTTTTTAATTTATATATAGATATACTTATTATTTCCTAATTCAGCCCAATTTTGGCAGGAACGTGCTGTATTTAGTATCTAAAATTTAATCTTAAAAATTTAATCTTACAGTTTTGAGGTAAACTGATTTCAGGAAATTTCATACTCCACTGTTGAACATATCCACTTACACTTTAGCATGAGGTTACTCATCAGTTGCATGTAATGATAGAAGAGTCCTTAGTTTGAAGAACAAGTTCAAGGAACATAGAAAACATTTTTGTCTGTGCTGAGCAAGACAAGAGTAAGGCACTAAAATTACAGTATGGTAGGCTTATCTTATCTTACAGGTTCACAACACCAGGAAATGTTAGAATGGTTCACAACATTAGGAAAGAATATTTTTGTAAGCGAGTATAATAAAACATTCCAATAGTCAATATGGAAAAGCTTTTATAAGCTTTGTTACTGGATACTTTCTGATAAGAGATGGGACAACTCACTGTCAGTTATAGTTGATTCTGCTTCTAGCAAGGAGAAACACAAGGGTTTTGTGAAATCCAATCTCTAAAGCACAACTTTTTTTTTATATCTTATGTAGGAACTATGTTGAAGGCACTTCTAGTTGTGCTTATGGTACTTTTTTTATTTTAATTCACAGTATGAATTTGTAGATTTTAAAATATAGTCTTTCTATCCTCAAAATATAAAAATAAATGTGGCATTATATCTTCTTCAGGAAAAAACAGGAAAAAATTTCTAGGTTTTTGGTCAAAATAATTATCTTGTCAAGGTTTGTAGTTATCAACAAGACATATTTTAGTTTTATAATTTAGTAATAATAACCTTCCAAACCCATAAAATCAGTTTTTGCTGCTACTGTAAGAGTTTTCATTGTCATCACCATGTCTCAAAATTTCTGCTTCTTTGTATCATGTCCTAAAACAGAGATATTTGTGTGCTATCACCAGCCTCAAATCACGAAAGCACATAGGCATGGGATTTACATTTCCCGAATCAATTTGCCTGTGGTTTCCCATCATTATAGCCTCTTCCCCAGATGATCTGGTGATATTTAAGACTGTAGGCAGTGACAGTTACTTGTTAATATCGAGTATGGCTTATTGATTGTGTAAATTTCTCGTGTTCCAAGAAATTATTGTGTGTAACAGCAGGTAGCACAAAATTAGTTGTACAGATTGGTAACACTTGTATGCTTTGCTCCTCAGAGGATTAGGTAGTGGAATTCTGAGCAAGTAAAAGTGAGTAATACAGCAAAGTAAAGAGTTCATGTAGAATAGAGTCTGCCTATCTGTAGCACACAGTGCAGCTCTGCTTGGGCTTGATCTGAGGTGAAGTAGGAATTCAAATGTTTCAAAGATCCCCAGTGTTTTTAATGTCAGCTGGTCACTACCACTCAGACAAGATACAAAGCAAAACTCGTAAGTAGATAGCAGAAAAGTTGGAGCATCATTTGATCTGTTTAAGACTTCTGATCTGATTTCATTGTAAATTTTCTATTTTTTATTTTAGTAAATCTGAAGCACTTGGTGTTCATATTGCATGCATGCATTTAACAGCAATGTTGAACATCACTATATTTAAAAATATGTAGAGTAAAATAACTGCTTGCATTAAGTATGTAATGCATTGTGGTTTTGATTATTTTCAAACATGTAAAGGAATAGATTACTGCATGTTCCTCTGCTTTTTACTGTGGCTCATGGTCATTAAAACTCAGAGCATGTTCTCAAAGATCGTACTGCATGCCCTACTTAATTCTATCAAACGCTATTTGATACTTAGAGTGGATATCAGCATATTAAGGGCTTTGAGTGCACTGATGCATTAACATTTTCTTTGGCTCCTGCTTTGGAGAGAAAAAGAAAGTAACTGCTAACAACCTGTTTCCTCTTGAGAATTCCAGCAGATGTTCAAGTGATGCTAATCTCCTTGAAACCTTTGTTATTTGCATGTTGCATAAATCAAACCCTTTTCCTTATTACACGGACTGGAAGGATGCCTCAGAAAGTGACTATTACACAACTGTGCAGCATTTAGTTAAACGCTTTGCTGCTTTTGTAAATTAATCAGTCAATTTGGATTTTCTAAATTGTCACGTGTACACTCTTGGAACCCCGTAACATCACCAAAAACAAAAGCAACGTCAATCTACAGTATACTGTGTGTTATTGTAAACTAAATGAAATTGTTAACAAAAAAGTCACAATAAGACACTAGATTACATAGTACAGTATTGTTAGATTTATTAAATTAACTGTAAATTAGTATTTGCTCTGGTACTGAAGTTACTGAATAAGAAATGTACCTGTATAAAGCTGTTATTTTCATCTTTTAACTTTTCTGATTCTGCAACGGAACTTTATTAGGGAGTAAGAAATTCTGCCACACCATCACAGGAACAAGAGCTCTGGTTTATTTATCACTGCTCTGCTGAGAGAGTCCTTGACACATCAAGAGTCTCTGCTGCTGCTACAAAAAAGTTGAACAGAATCTGAAGAAACAAATGCTTGTGACAATCATGGTCATACCAGTTTTGTGATAGTTTACTCAAAAGCCTAACTCTTAAAATGTACTGAGCTTTTTATTAGTAAGCATGTGTACATCCATTGCAGTTAAAGCAAGAGATCTCTATAGGCAGATGAATGGAGCAGAAGGTGACTCTCTCACTGTCTTCCAGAGAAGGGTCACTTTATGTCTTCAGATTTTTCTTATACTTCATGCTTCTATATATTTACCAAGGATGCATTTTTCACTGCAAAGAGTCCTTTGGATTAAAAGGAGGGATTAGTTTAACAAGTTAGTTTTGGAGATGAATAATGTATGGTATGCTGTGTGAAAGATTTAAGTTAATATGATGAAGTTCTGATTTTTTGGAAACATATCCTTAGTTTCATCTGAAATAATTCTGCAGTGAGCAGCCATAATAATATACCTGGAAATTAGTAAAAATATTGTGATGCTCGCTTTTCCATTACTTTGTGGGGTATTTTTCCAGTCCCAAGTCCCATCTATTTAATTTTATCACAGACTAAATGTCCTGTTTTTTTCCTATTTTGTTGAACGGGCAAACAGGGGTAGATGG